TGAACGAGGAGTCAGCTACTGCTTTGGAAAGCGCGTCATCACTGACTTCTTGGCCGTCCACGATTTCGATCTCATCTGTCGAGCACATATGGTTGTTGAGGATGGATATGAATTCTTTAACGACAGGGTTCTAGTCACCGTTTTCAGTGCTCCAAATGTAAGTACTTTGCCCTCACTTCTCCTGGACACTACTAATTGAACACAGTACTGCGGCGAATTTGATAATTGGGGCGCGGTCATGTCAGTTTCTGCCGAGCTTCTGTGCAGTTTTGAGCTGTTGAAGCCCCTTGACTCGACTGCTCTTAAGAGCCATATCAAAAAGAGCCGAAATAAGCGACAGCACATGTTGAACAGTCCGGTAAGTTGCCGTTCCTGAATTTCCTTAAAATGCTCTGCCGCTGACCGTTTCTAGCCGGCCATGGTTCAGCCCCAGAGCGTATAAACGTGAGGCTGGCATACATCCACGAAGCACGAGCAAAGACAGTTTTCTCGACTCCCCTCACTGGGAGCATTTTTACTACGTACGAGAGACGGCTGGCGATCCGAGGGCAACCCAGGAAGAGTCGGACGCCGTGGTTTGAAACGATGCAACTGGGCACCACCCGAGTGTCTATTTTTTTGGGAATCGAATTGCGACTAGGAGGATTTCAAGCGTAAGAAACAAGGTTATTCAGCATGGGGAATGTGTTTATCATACCCACGGGGTGACAACCGTGTTGGGGTGGTCTGCATCGACCTTGGCTTGATCCGAGTGTTCAGACGTAACTGTCTGAAACCAACAACCAGAAATGGTCGACTCGGTATGCAAGATCCATGTCGCCGCCTCATGGCTTCAGCATCCGCCCTGGGGAGTCTGGGTGGACTAAGGGCTGCGTCCTTGCAGGGCGCGATGTACATGTATAGCTCTGGTCTCAAGGCTACCGATGGGTAGCGGTCCACGTCCTGCAGAGACTGCCCCATGTTGGCGTTGCACTGCTGGGAGCATGCGGATCTTGCTTTGCGTTGGTTTCCCAACAAATAGCTTTTCCGCTCCACAAGATATACAGAGATGTTATTGCCTAAATCGATTATGGACTGGAATGATTTTGTAACAAGTGTGGACTACCTGTGATATGTGGTTGTGAACCAAGTTGTCGGCGAATTGAGGAATGGATGTAAGTGGTCTGGCCTAATAGACATGTGCTGTTGTGGCTTAGTCATGCAATCGAACAACGGCAGAAATTTGGACATCCCACGCTGCAGACTCAAGCTCAACAACCTCGCACATCACCAAGCAACAATGCATCGCCACGCCTTTCGTTCGGTGTGTAGCCGGACAAGGCCCGAGCTCGAGCAGGCCTCGGATGCTCTTCGAAGCTGCATTCGCCAATTCTCTACGACGCAATTGCAAGCCGCCGACGGCAAAGGCCCCAGCGATTCTCCCCACAGTCGATCCCGCAACGCCACGAGCGAGATCAATTCCCTCGCCCGGTCTCGCAGCCCGGCTCGAACCGATCAGGCCGTCTCTGGCCCGGCGGGCGCACCCAGAATCCTCGATGTGAAGAGCCTTCCCAGAATGTCACTCCGTGGTCGCGGAGGTTTCCGCGGCCGAGGGGCACGAGGCGGCGCACAAGGCGACGGCCCTTCTTACAGGGGTGGTCGTGGTGGTTATGGTGGTGAGGGTTCTTCTTTCAGAGGTCGTGGAGCTTTCAGTGGCGACGGCCCTTCTTTTAGGGGCCGTGGCGGCTTCGGTGGTGCTCGAGGATCTAGAGGTGGCTTTGGTGCTCGAGGTGGCCGTGGCGGTAGAGGTGGTAGAGGCGGCCGAGGTGGCAGAGGTGCTCGAGTCGGTAGGGGACGGGACGGGAGACGGGAGGGCGAGGACAAGGAACGCAAGCCCCGCGTAAACGAGTTCGCGCGAATGGACCCCGACGAGCAGGCTTTTGACGACAGCATCAGATTTGGCGTGCCCACCCAGTTCGAACCGTCTCTGACACTCGAGTCCCTCGCCGACTATGCGCCAGTTACGCCCACCAGTGCAGCCGGCAAGTCGGCTGCCGTTTTGCAGAACCTCAGCGTCCTCGGCACAGCTGACCACGTTGGAGCCCCTCAGGCCTTCCAGGCTCGCCACTACGCCACAGAGATTGAGGCCGGTGGTATGCGTTACTTTGCCGACGCTGAGGCCAGAGCAGCTGCCGAGGAGCATCTTCAACAGAAGAACAAACCCGCCGAGCCCGTCGAGGGCGAAGGTGAGGGCAAGGGCGAGGCTCAGGCCGCAGCACCCATCATCACCGACGCTGAAGAGGCCGTCCGCAAGGTCATCCTTGAAAGGGCCGTCATGGGCCAGCACGAGACACCCAAGTTTGCCGTGGATCCCATTGGCCTGTCCCGCTCGTGGCACCTCCGTGCCGAGACTTATACAACTCACGACGTCAACACGTTTGAGAATAAGCTGACATCGCTGTTGGCTAAGAGGGGTGGGAAGCCGGCAGAAAAGCACAAGGCACGAGCCTAAGAGGATACAAAGATACAGGGAAACAAGAGATGGCTGGAGAGGGAAAAAAAACCAGTGTACACTTTGTCACGATATGTAATATATATTCAACGTCCCACCCACCTTTTCAGCGCTCGTAGCCTTTGAGCATGGCCCGTTTGGCGGACCGTTTCGGACATTTCGGCTTGTGATCGTACAAATACATGACACCATATATGCAATATAGCTTTGGTTACAGCTGGCGGATCATTTGAGCCTCCTCTTGGTCGAGCTCCTTCATCTTCTTGTCTTGCACCTTCTGTAGCTCCTTCTCGGCACGCTTCACCAGGTCTGGCAGCACAGTGCCGTTCTTCTTCCAGTCCTTGAGCGTCTTTTCGTGCTTGGAACGCACCTGGCGGATGCGCTCGCGGTAGGCCTGCATGGTCTCCTTGATGCGGCGGGCGACGTCGTCCTTGCGCTCGAGCTCGACCTTGAGGAGCAGCTCGAGCTCGTTGTCCTCGGAGCGCTGGGGCTGCTGGTTGAACTCGCGGCTGGACTGGACGGCGGACATGATGGGCTTGATGTAGTCCTTTTCGTGGACGAGCAGCGAGATGGTGCGGCCAGGGCGGGGTACGACCTGGGCCAGCTCGCGGAGCGGGAAGGACGCAGCGGCCTCGGCGCCGGGGTCCTTGACGGAGACGGGCAGGGCGCCGAGGTTGGTCGGGTTGAAGCGGCCGCCGTGGACCATGCCGGCGAGCTGCGCCTTGAAGTGGGCGTCGATCGGACCGTACGCCGACGTCACGGCCGTGAAGTCGAGGGGGTCTTCGGCGTTGGCCTGGCCCGGCTTAGGAGCTGATGAAGATGAATCCGGCGGTGCGGCGGCGGCATCGCTGTTGGCAGCGGCGTCTCGGTGCTTGGGGCTGTTGGTGGGGATGGCGATCTTGCGCTTCTTGAGGAGAGGGGGAGAGGAGCTGAAGGGGCGGGTCGAGGACTGAACGGGGAGGGAGGCGGCAAGGCTTCGTCGAGGGATGTTCTGGAGAGCCGTCCTAGAAGACAGTCAGTCAGTTCGAGGTTCAGCTCGAGTCATGCTGTATCGCCTGCATGACAGCGCTGCGTTGTAGAAAGCATACCCCTCAGAAGCCAAGAGACGCAGGCAGTGCCGTGCGGGCGCATTGGCTCGTGGGAATGCCATAATTGTGTTTGTGACGGGCGAGAAAACGAGGTCAGTCGACAGGTTGAAATCCTTGCACATGAGCTTCCGACGTCAGTTCACCAAGCTTCATGCCTCGCTGGTACGTACCCCACCTTCATTAGCTGCAGGGCTGCGGGGACCATTCTATGTTCAACAACAAGGCTCAGAAACAAGTTGTCATATTAATCATACTATTTGAGACGTTGAGTAACAATGGACTCGGTGCGAACATCGATTGTGCGTCGCGGGTTTGGGTGGTGTCTTTTGTTGATGTCTCTACAGAGTTGCAGATCTGAGTCTTCGAGGCATGAGGACGACAACATGGGTTAGTAGTCGAACAGAGAGCTCTTATGTAAATCATATTGCCCAATCCTGGGCAGATTGGAATAGACAAGGGAATGCTCTGGACACTCGCTTCAATGGAAGTTTTCTGAGTCTTCCCAAGAGAAGATGAAGCCTAGACGGATCAGGGGCACTTTCGGAACCCCAACCAACATGCGGGAGACCGACCAGGAGCCACCCGAAAAGCAACTCAGCCTTTGTATGCCAATTTTGTTCAATGTTCTCCAAAGAGCGGACGATGTGGCTCAGTGGTAGAGTGTCTCTTGCATTACGATGTTTGTTGCATCGACACCCGTTTAACATCGCTTTCTGCAGGCTCATCATTTCCTGGTGCAGATTCATTCCAGTCAGCTTTCATAACGTTAGCACTGTAATTGCACTGGGGCTGAATTACCTACGGGTCCCAGAATGCCCATTGAGGTTGACGCTACCCCCAACCACACTTAACACTAGTGCTGACCCAGCAAATATGACATTCTAGACAGGCAATGAGACAATGCGGTGGTGTTTTTATGATAAAGACCGTGTGTAATTCAATGCAAATTGTGTTTAATGTGATACTAATGTGCTCGACTGCGGCGGTACGATGCGTTCAAGTGGAGCCAAAACCATCAACTCCACCAAAATAAGCCCGGCGATCTCCACGTATGCTTTGGCTCTATTCACATTTGAACATGGATCTTTTTTAGCGTCTCACAACTAATTCCATTGAGTGAGAAATCAAGTCTTCGAAGAAAACAAACTTTCTTTGAGTGTTTATCATTGTTGTGGTACTTATGTGTGATGCTCATGAGATTGGGCAACTCCCACTTGATTCTCACATTTGCGACCTCAGCAACCCATGTCTTGTATATTATGAAGTTTTTTGACGAAATAATACACTAGTATCGCAATTTTTATCATGGAAAGTGAAATATCTACCAGGGACGCACCCAAAAGGGAAGTGTGCTACAAACCACAGCCGGGTGGGATGGCGATAGTATATAGATCACAAAGTTGAGCCTCAACACCAACAAAGGTCGTGTGGCCCAGAGGTTAAGGCATCGCCTTTACATCCATTCGAATGGATACGGCGAGGATCGCAGGTTCGATCCCTGCCACGATCATTGTATATTTCTTTTTGAATTTTTGTCCACCAAGTCTTCACAGATAGAGAGAAGAAGAAAGGTGTGGTCTTTTTGCAGTAACACCCCACCAACCCTACTCATAACTTCGATCAGACAGAGGCTCTCATATGCATGTGGGGAAACTACCCGTATTCATTTCGAGAACTGGTAGCATCCGCCCGGTCCATAAGTTGCGGGTTTTTCCTAGACCTTTGGTGATTATTATTTTTATTTGAATCTCTTTGATGTGAGAAGATTCTTGGACTAATTTAATATACCTTCATATGCTAATTTATTATGCCTACGTATCCTAGTTTATCACGCCTGTATGTAGCAGCTTGCGTGCGACCGGTGTGCCTCAACTCGCTTAAATCACTGAGTATGAAGCTACTCACACAGCCTACCGTCTCACGACCAACGTTTTTGAGCATCGTCCACCACGACATTGACAGCCTAGAGCAATTGAATGACCTCTTCAATGGTTTGTGGGTCGCTTCCTTTGACCCAGAGGTAGAGGCATTTGCTTTCTAGTGTAAGACACGACTGACCATGACATCTGGAAACGGAACCAGATCTCAAAGGAATGACAACTGACTCAAAAAGTGGCTCAACTAAGCCACGTCTCTTGAGATCATGCCGCGTTAACATAGACGTTGATCGGAGATGTTGATCTTCTCATGGCTCTGCCCACCCTTCAACAACCCAATCCTCCAGCATCACTTCCTTTCACGAACCTTTGATCCCCACCCTCCAAGTTTTTAATTCTCCAACATTGTACCCTTTCACTGACTTCTGATAGCACTCTCCCTAACCCAAGCTTTTCCCGCCCTCCAACATCACTCCCTTTTACCGACCTTTCACAGCGCTCTGCCTATCCTGGAAATACTTGGACTGCAATTGCCAAGTCACTGTGTATGTGCTGAAGTATTCGGCCATAAGAGGTGGTCCATTGTTCGTCGATCCAAGAGCACAAGCTGCGGCTACTCGGTAGTCTGCGACACTTGGGAATTAGCTGATGACAGCAGTGGCAGAGCCAAACACATACCGCTTGAATGAGACAATGAATAGTAACAGCAACGCACTTGCAGAAATGAAGGTGCTTTCCTTTTGTCGTGTTGAATTAGAGGGCCGTGCTCGTGTTGATTAGTATTGTGTGTCGAGGCTTCGAAGAGCAGCGTTTGTGACCTGGATGCCCTCGAATGATTGACCAGTCAAATCAAGTGATGAACATAAACAGATAGCAACAGGGCGCTAGGAGAGATGATGGACAAATATCTAATAGGTGGTGGTGAGTCTTGCGAATACTGGCGATTATAAATGGAGCCGTATCGGCGGCAAACAAGACACAGGGATTCGCATTGCATTGCAATCTCGTCGCCAAATTGCATGGCCCTGGTAGGAGGCTCTCCGAATTGGCAATGCTCAGATTGTTGAACCAAGTCGCATTTGATGTCGTAACCGTCCAAGAGGAATGATTGACCGCAAGCGCTTTGAAACAACAAGCCATGGAATGAGAATTATCACCGCCGGCTGAGCGCCCGAGAGAGGGGTCATGAGCCTTTGTGTCTTTGAAAGACGGCATGGATATTTGAGAGATTTTGGGTGACGTGTGTTGCGTATTTGATGAAAAGAAAGTTCTTGAATGGAATGTGCAGAACCGCGGATAGCATATAGATGTTTCCGTGCCACTGGGGTTGCTTAGTGAGTGAGGAGCCTTAGACATGACAGGGATGTCAATGCAGTACTCCAGCCCGTAAGCCAACAAACACACAGTGGTCATATAGACTGAGATTATGTAGGAGAGATCATATTTTCATCTTAAGGTTGTAGATGGAATGTGCATGAAGCGAAGTGGGCGAGTTTGATACTCAAGAGAAGTCACGCAGTACATGATATCCGCTCTGACGCGCGTTCGAGACGAAATCCCGTGGGCCAATTGGCAATGATACTTGATGACGGAGGCTCGATACATCGAGTCGACGCCTTCTTGTTGTTTTCAGCTGTTGGACTGTCACGCGGTCTTCTCAGCTAATGATTGACATAACCCCTCAAAATGGACCAATTCCTCGCAGGTACTGGTCTTCCATAAGAACCTTTAAGTTCAACGGCAGTAAGGCGCATAGCTACAATCATTTAAAATGAGCATGTCAATTTGGTTTATAGGGCATGAGCCAGGAGTCCTGTACTCGAGATGTCTCGAATTAATTCATGGACGCCTGAGTGCGACAATGACCATCTGTCCAGTCCATCGATCTGAAAACGTACTCCCGATTGTATAAGAGAAACTTGAGAAGAACCATAGTTTATTCCCAGTGACTGGTTCCATCGTCCCTTTCGGGAAAGTTGCTGGGACACATTGGGTCCCTGTTGCCGCCGCCGCCGCCATTCTTGGGAGGGTTGGTGTCGCCGTTAGCAACAAGCAGGAGGTACTGAGCCCTCCGCAGAAGGCGCTTGGCCTTCCGCTTCGACTGTACATGGTGTTAGATTGCATCAATCACACGAGTACATAGACACTTACCACGGGCTTCTTGGCAGCCTCGTCGCCGCCGTCGCCGCCGCAGCCGCCATCACCACGACCACCCCTGCGGCTACCACCGCCCACGATCGTGACGTTTGAGTTATTGATTGTGTACATTTTCTATACATAAATTAGTGCTAGTATTGGGTGAAGAGATAAGGGACCCTAGGAGGAATGGGGGGGAGGTTGTACTTACGGTTGAGGGTGATGATGGAGTTGAAGAAAGGATATGGAATTAATTGGTAACGGAAGATATTGAGGACAGTAAGGAGCGTAGGGGGGGGGGGGGGGGGGGGGGGGTATGTAGTAGTGCTTATGGGAGAGGGTGTCAATGGGGTTGAAGAAAAGAAAAGAAAAGAAAAGAAAAGAAAAGAAAAGAAAAGAAAAGAAAAGAAAAGAAAAGAAAGGAATTCGTATGTGCGTGAAGAAATATCCCAAACACGAGACTGGCTGACAGTTGTTTGACAGCTGATCAGTTGGCAGCTGAGAGTCAGTTGGTTTTTAGATCGCTGCACTGGACAACTGGTTACTATCATCCTCACCACTGACCCGACGGTGGTACTCAATCTTGAAGATGGAGCACACGTTTCACAGTCATACTTCTACATTTGGGGGACCCTTTACTAGGTACTTAAATGGATGGTAGTAGAAGCAAGTCGAAGATGGATTGTCAGATTCAACACCTGATGCATGTTGGCGGCGCGGCGTCGCCGAACGAAGACGACGAAGACGACGAAGACGACGAAGACGACGAAGACATGGGAGACGTCGGCGGCAAGATGGACCCAACTTGTCCTAGCAACGTCCCCAATAGGTAGGGATGATGAACCAGTCACTGTACCTAAATTATGGGCTTTTTATGATTTTTTTTTGGTTGATTTTTTTTATTTTCCCCAAGTTTCTCTTATGCATAAGACATAAGACCCGACGGAGCAGGATCGTTTATTACCTTACGCCTGTAGAGGCTTACCCATTCCTCCAGAAGTTACCATCTTCGTTACTTGATACTCTGCAATGCCGTCCAGCGAGCCCTCACGACCAAAACCGCTCTCCTTGACACCACCAAATGGTGCCGCAGGATCCGAGATTAAACCTGTGTTGACACCAACCATGCCCACCTCGAGGCTCTCGGCGATTCGGTGCACTCGTTCAATGTCCCTTGAGAAGAAGTATCCAGCAAGACCCACGTTGGTGTTGTTGGCCATCTTCACCACCTCTTCCTCCGTCTCAAAGGGGAAAAGGCCGGCAACAGGCCCAAAGGTCTCTTGAGAAGCCATATCCATCTCGGGAGTCATATCTCGGATGACTGTGGGTGCGTAAAAGTTGGGGCCCAGGTCAGTGACTCGCTGGCCACCGATGGTGACCTTGCCGCCCTTCTGCTGGGCATCCTGAACGTGTGCTTCGGCCTTGGAGACAGCTCGGTCGTGGATCAAAGGCCCATGAGTGATGCCTTGCTCGAATCCGTTACCCACGCGGAACTCCTGGACCTTCGCGGTGAGCTTCTGGGCAAACTCATCATAGATGCCCTTCTGCACGTAGATGCGGTTTGCACACACGCAAGTCTGACCCGAGGAACGGAACTTGGAGGCGATGGCTCCGGCGACAGCAGCATCGACATCGGCGTCGTCGAAGACAATGAAAGGTGCATTTCCGCCAAGCTCCATCGAGAGCTTCTTGAGAGTGCTGGACGACTGCTTCATCAAGAGTTTGCCGACACCAGTGGAGCCAGTGAACGAGATCTTTTTAATAGTAGGCGATGAGGTAAGCAACTCTCCAACTTTGGGAGTGTTTTCGTTAGCTGTCACAATGTTGACGACACCCTTGGGGATGCCCGCTCGATGAGCAAGCTCGGCCAGGGCTAGGGATGTGAAGGGTGTCTCGCTAGGAGCCTTGCAGACCACGGTACAGCCTGCTGCCAGCGCTGGGCCAATTTTCCTCGTAATCATGGCGGCAGGGAAGTTCCAGCTATCATTTGGTCAGGTTCTGGGTCAACAATTCGAAAAGGAGCTGTCACTTACGGCGTGATCAATCCACACACTCCGACCGGCTCCTTGATGGTCCAAACTCGATTTCCAGGCACGGAGGTGGGGATGGTATTGCCGTAGACTCGCGGAGCCTCCTCACTGAACCACTCCAGAAAGTTGGCGGCGTAGGTGGCCTCTCCCTTGGCATCTGTGAGCGGTTTGCCGTTCTCCCAGGTGATCAGAGTGGCGATATCCTCAGCATTGGAAGTCATCAGATCATACCAGGCGCGCAACAACTTGGAGCGCTCACGGCCCGTCTTGGCGCGGAAACTAGGGAACGCATCGGCAGCGGCGGTGATGGCGGACTGGGCGTCATTGGTGTCGAACTCGGGACTGGTGCCGATGAGGGCGCCCGTAGATGGGTCTGTGACGGTGTCAATATCACAAGCAAGCTTGAACCCTCTGATGAATGGTCGCGGATCACAAGAAATGGCACTTACCATTGACCTCGAATGTCT